TAGGGGTTACGTGCATCCCAATATTTTACATCAATATTATTAGGTGAATTTTTTTCGTGTAAAAACGTTTTTTTTATTTTCATCAACAGAGTGTGAAAAATCCCGAGGTCTATTGCAAAATTATGAATAACTTAATTTTCTTTAATAAAAATGCAACTAATAACACAAACAAAAATTTTTTTCCTATAGGGAAAAATATATTTTCGTGCAAATTAAAGAAGATATTCATAAATTTTTTCAAAGTATTGTTTAAATGATTTTAGCGTTTTGTACCGAAGAAGAAGGTCAAAACAACACGTGAAACATTCATGAGTTAAAAATTCGAAGGACGTAAGAATTTTTTGCAAGTAATGAATTTCATTCAGGTTATAAAAATAGGGGGTCAGGCTAACCCTAAGGTTTTTTAAAATCTTTACTGTCACTTTTACTCGACAATTGTAATTTCTTTTCTAAATAAGTTCCTCTCCTAATGCGATAAATATCATGCATGACTCTACCACTAATACAGCCAAAACACCAAGGTTAGAAAAATTTTGTTAGGTTTGGAGAACCCCTATGTATAGTGCTAGGGTTAAATAAAAAAGTTCGGAAATGATAGTGATATCGTTTACAAACTTTACACCTAAATGTATTAGACAATAGAAATTTTTTGAATTATTCTTTTATACTTTTGTATTGATTTGTCCCTTCGGAGTTTAGTAGTATGCATTTATTTTATTATACATATATGTTCGATTTATTATTCAAAGTATACGCAATTATTGCTATAAAGTATTTTTGCTTGAGTTTTAGGATGATAGTTCACGCTCGCGGGACAAGAACCAGACATTCATGGGATCTGATTTGCCTTTCATTGAAACTGGTCCACGATATTCCAGCAGGAACTGCGGATCTTGGTTCTCCGGCATACACAGATACCTAAAAAAAATATTTTGTGTTAGTAAAACAGTTAAAATTTTTGTCATTTGTATTTTCATCGTCATGCTTAAATTAATCAAAATCATAAAATAAAAACTTACTGAAATTAAAACGAAAATTCTTAAAAGTAACACAAAAAACCACGACTGAATTTTATTAAAAATTTTATAAATAAAATTTTAAAAAATCCATAAATTGATTAAAAAATTAAAAACTAATACTTAACAAAAGAAGCCCTTGGTACGTAAACCCTAATTAAATTATAGTCCCCGACGTGAATTCGCTTGTTTACTTTTCTGGTATACTTCACTCAGTGAACAACCGAGTAGAGGTTTTATTCCTCAAAACGTTTATTAAAAATAAATTACAAAACAAAACAAGAATAAAAATGGAAGTGGTTATTGACTGTTACTTTGACAAATTATTTGAAAACATGCAGCGCGACTATTTGGTATCGCGTCACAAAAGACGACAACTAGTTAAATATTTTTCCGATGTGATAAATAGCTCCGCTGAAGGTAAAACTTAAATCATAAATAATAACTTACGATTTGTTACACTGCAATGCTTTTTTTTATAATTCATGATAAAATTTTCCCAGGAAGTCTGGATTTCTAACTTAAAAAAATTATTTTTAATGCACTGATATTAGAGGAGTTTATTAACTGTTAATAAATTCATTTATGAAAAAATAACTTATAAATTGATCAAATATAAACAATTATTTTGTAACTTTTAATAAATTCTTCTTTTTTATATAAATAATACATTTATTAACGGTTAACAAATATTTATTGATCGTTAATAAAAATGTTTAGGACTAAATGTTTTTCGCAGGCGATATTACATTAATAATTTAAACCACAAAAAAAAATAGTCTGTAATACATAAATATCACTTTTTATTATTTGTTTTATTCGTTACGTTTGTTTATAAAAGAAAACTATTAATCTACGTGATTTATTTGAATCTACTATTTATTAAAGTTATGGGGTTATAAAAATTTCTAAATAGAATTTCGACATTGATTTTTTATTCAAGGCTCAAAATAAATGTTTATCAATAGTTTAAAAGTAATTATCAACAATCAACAAATATTTATTATTCACAAATAAATATTTATTAGCAGTTTTAATATTGTGATCAATAAAAGATTTATTAACTGTTAATTAATATTTTTTAACTATTAACAAATATCAATTAAATGTTGATAAATCTTATTTGATGATTGAATCATCAACTGTTGATACATACACGGAGAAAAATTAATTATACTGGGTCATTCCATGTCAAATCGACCAGTAGTTGGAATCGACCCCTTTCGATTCGGATGAATTTTGGTCAGAAGTTTTCTTTTATCATAAAACAAAGTTCTGCCAAAGGAAAAAAAATAAAAAAATTTTTTTCGAAAGATATACAAATTCAAAATTTCGCGATTTTTCCAGTTTTTCAATTTTGTTTTTGCAATATCTCGAATGCTATTATAGATACAGGAATGGGCTTTTGTTTGTTTAAAAGGGGACACTTGGGGCTATTGAAAAAGAAATATTTTGAAAAAAAATTCCGAAAAATGCCAAATTTGTCAAATTTTGAATTTTTGAAAATTGTCAAAAATGAAGACCGCCATTAAAATTTTGGCTCAATTTTTTTTGTATGATACCTTGTAATGATCTTAAAAGATCCTGAAATTTTTGAATAGGGGTTTTTTTTTTTTCAAAGATATATATTTTTGAATTTCAAAAAAAATTTTTTGAATTTCAGAAAAAAATTTATTTTTGTTTTTTGCAACTTCTATACAAGTTAAAGTTATGCAGACACATAATATTGTAATTTTGAGTATTTAAAAATCAAATGCTCGACGTGAAAATATTAAATAACAAATTAATTTCAACTTTTATTCATTTTTTAGATCACTTCGAGAGTTAAAAATGTTGGGGGCCCATTTTGCCCTCAAATATTTTTGGATATTGAAAATTTTAGGGGGCCCATTTTGCTCCCCCCCCTCCCTTATGTGCAGAAATTCGTAAGTAAATAAGTATTCGAAAGAACGAAAAAAAATTGATATTCTCATGAAATCATTTCTAATTTTTATAGAAAATTGATATCTGTTTGAGTTATTTGAGGTTAAAAATTGTAATTGAAGTGAAGAAACGCACAAAATATATCATGCATTAAGAAAATAAAAAATTATATCATGCGTTAAGCCTGACTTTTAGATTATCTCTAATATATGAATAAAAGTTGAAATTAATTTATTATTTAATATTTTCCCGTCGTGCATTTGATTTCTAAATATTCAAAATTACAATATTATGTATCTGCATAACTTTAACTTGTATAGAAGTTGCAAAAAACATAAATAAATTTTTTTCTGAAATTCAAAAAATTTTTTTTGAAATTCAAAAATATATATCTTTAAAAAAAAAATATATATATTTTTCAAAAAAAAAAAACCCCTATTCAAAAATTTCAGGATCTTTTAAGATCATTACAAGGTATCATACAAAAAAAATTGAGCCAAAATTTTAATGGCGGTCTTCATTTTTGACAATTTTCAAAAATTCAAAATTTGACAAATTTGGCATTTTTCGAAATTTTTTTTCAAAATATTTTTTTTTCAATAGCCCCAAGTGTCCCCTTTTAAACAAACAAAAGCCCATTCCTGTGTCTATAATAGCATTCGAGATATTGCAAAAACAAAATTGAAAAACTGGAAAAATCGCGAAATTTTGAATTTGTATATCTTTCGAAAAAAAATTTTTTTTTTTTTTTCCTTCGGCAGAACTTCGTTTTATGATAAAAAAAAACTTCTGACCAAAATTCACCCAAATCGAAAGGGGTCGATTCCAACTAGTGGTCGATTTGACATGGAATGACCCTACTACCTACTATACAAAAATAGTAACTCCTACTATCTAAAATGGTAATAAAATTAATTAGTAACAAAATAATAGGTGGTATCATTGACAATTGTAATAGTTATTAGTTATTATTAATAATGGTAACGGTTACTATTGAAAATAATAATTGTAATTATTAGAAATTATAACTGTTACAATCGAAGATGGTAATTGTAACCATCTCAGATTGTAAAAATTCTGAAAGAAAAAATAATATAAATTTACTCAATTAAATCCTTTATTTACATCCATATTTTAGCTAATGTACATTTTTTTCTTTGAAATATTAAAATATTTTAAATTCTCTTTAAAATTATTTTTTTTAAATTTGATTTTTTTGAAGATTAAAATTTTTTTTTTTCTTTTAATTTGAATTTTATTAAAAATTTTGATTTTTTTGGAATTTTCAAATTTTTTTGGAAAAATTTGGCGTTGAAACTTGTTTTAGACAAATAAAAATTTTAATATAATTTCAATCCGAATTTAATTCCGATTTTTTGTGCACTACACTGCAATACAGCTGCTTTTAGTTTATTCAGAAATGCATCCACGGTAACGCAGATTCTTAATTTTTTAAACATTTTTTACTAGCTTAGATGGTAGTTATTATTATTACTGATGGTAACTGCAATCGTCAGGTTATATTAGGAATTACGATTTTGATAATAGTAGTATTTTAATTAGTTACTTAATTAAAATAATAACAGTTATTATTACTGATTACCATTATAATAGTAGTAGTCACCATCAGGATGGTAAATACTACAATTCAGATGGTTTATTTAATTATTTAAATAATATTTACTACTATCGAATTCAGTTAATAGACTTTAACATAACTAGATAATAAACTCTACTATAAAATTTTCTCCGTGTATTTACTATTTCATCTAATGTTTAAGAATCATTTGTTAACGGCTAGTAAAGCTTATTTAACATCAGCAAATTCTTCCTTCAATGTAGGGTAAATAATTGAGTAAAATTTTATTAAAAATTCTAATTTTTTTTTTCATTTTTCGAAACAGCCTTATATTTTTCCCTAAAATTTAAGAACAATTTTTTAAATTTAACAGTTGGTTTATTAACTATTGATAAATATCTATCAAATCATTAATTGATAAAAAATTATTCATTGACAATTAATAAAGTTTATTAAATGTCAACAAATTCTTCTATCAGTGAATGCATTCATTTACTATTTTAATTATCAAAAAAATTTTCGTACCAGCTGAAAATTTGGACACTAGCGACGTCTGTGAGCGGATTGTAATGTCGGCGCTGCGTTACCACAACATAACCATGTCTGAAAACGGTTCAGTGTGCCTGCTGGGTAAATTCCACAACGTTTTGTACGTAGCCGCAAAACTGTGCTACGACTGGAACCTAACCAACAATATAATAGTCTCCCGGTTGCTCAACGACATCTATTACTGCGAGCAAACCTTCGAACGGATATTTGTGGGCGCCATCTTTGGAATTCGCGTGACGCATTTTTTGTCCGGTTGGAAAAGCGATTTTGAAGACCGAGAGGAAAATTTGCGCGCTTTAATATATTTCTTAGACCACGCCATCATCGGGAGACTTGAATACAAATCAACGGCAACGAGAATAAAGAGAAGATTTATTGACGTGCCCATGGAGTCTTACGGACAAGTGTTGCCTCTGAGAGTCGCAATCCAAAATGGCGCGCCCGACATTTTGTTGATCATGTTGAGGTACGGCGCGTCGACTGAATCTGACACTTTAGCGCCTTCTCCGCTGGAAATTTTGCTAACAAAATTAAATGAGTATGACATGAAGGAAGAAAATGGCGGAGCAGTGAAGGAAATTCCAGAAAATTTGGTTACTTGTATGAGATTTATCCTTCGAACCGTTCCAACGGCAACTGTTAAGACTCCGGAACATATCGCGAACTCTTGTGGTTTAACGCATGTTAGTTTGTATGAACAATATCCGCAATTAGTAGAGAGAAATTTGGTGCCGAAAGAGAGAAGTGGATTAGTGCCACCGGAGTTGAGGCATCTGTGTCGATGCTGTATTAGACAGAGGTTGTTTGAAAATTGGGCGCTGCCTCATGGTATTAAAACTTTGCATATTCCGAGGGGGTTACAAAGTTATCTTGATTTAATGGCTGATTAAGACTTTTTTTATAATTATAGAACAAATTGATGGGACCAAATTGAAATTGATCCTGGTGAGAAATCAATGTATGCAGGTATTGAATTTTATATAAAAATTTGGAGGTGAAAAATAGTTTGTAAATGTTTCGAATTAAATTATACGGAACTCTTTATAGAAAATTGAAAATTTTTTTTTAATAGTTTTCCTAAATTTTTTTGATTTTTGAACTTACCCAGAATTTTGATTTTATAAAAAAGATTTCTATTGATAAAAAAAAAAATTTTATAAAATTTTCACTCACAATTATGGGTAAGATTGTATGATAAAATGTTAAGAAAATTTTTACATAAAAATACAATAATAAAGTCATTTTGAACAAAATTTTTGCTTAAAAAAATTATGTAGTTTTTCTACTCGAATTCTTAGAAAATTTTCAATTTATAAAAAATTATTCAAATAAACTTTTTTTATTTTTAATCCCAGAATTTTGATTTTCTCAAAAATATTTCTCTAGAGAATAAAAAAAAATTTTCTATAAAAACAAATTGATGTGATTTTATAAAAAAATTCTCAATAAAAATATGTGATTTTTTTACTGTAGCTTTTGTAGAATAATTGTGAAGTCTAACAAAATTCTAATTAATAAAACAATAACTCTGTAAATTAATAAAACTGTAAAGAATAATAAAAAGAGAAGAATAATACAATTTTAATAAACTTTCTATTAAAAATAATAATCTGTTGGACTTAATGCCCTGATGTAATATACAAAATACCGTAACAGTAATTACTCATTTCATTTGATTACTTGGTACAAGTTACAAGTTACAATAAATAGTTATTTTCCTTTCACCCAGGTATTATCTCACATAAAAGCAAACAAATTATTTATCCGAACAACACATAACGTGTAAAGATCAAAATTAGATCCCGAATCAGAAACAAAATTAGTTTGAGTCATGTCAATAAATTATAATAAATAAAAATAGTAAGAAAAAATAATATAACAAATAAAATATATGAATCCAAACCTGTAAGCATCTTCAGAGACATTTATTTTTCCTGGTTCGCCGGTAGTTTCCGTTCTACTTGTAAGATTGACGGTATTACCAAACAGGCAGTAACGTGGCATACGGTGTCCGATCACTCCCGTAACAACTTCTCCGCTGTGGATACCAATAGTGATTTTCTGCGAATTAATCATCTCGTTACGGTACATACTCTATGTATATCTGTTTCTACTTATACTTGTACTACTTGTACAATATACATATATTTTTACCCCTCTCAACTCTCAGCACCGTGGTACAGTGCTATACTCAGTCTCTTTAAAAAACGATCTGGAATGAATTAAATGGTTGATGTGCTTTCTCCATACACGTCATCGTAACCAACCGTAAAATGAATAAATAAAAAATCTGTCGCGTACAAACGTACAAATCACAGTAATGTTATGTGTTATGTGATAACATGATTTATTTAAGCCCACAGTAATTTATGTAAGTTCACAGTCCGGAGAGTTGAGGTTCATGTATACTGTATGTATATGCTGAAGGTTTTATATTTAATAAAAAATTAACATACCACTGGCTCTCCATCTATCTGGACCTCGTCCGCGGCTAAATCCATCATATCCAAGGCGAGCCGAGCTATGCACCGAGCGTGGCTCCGACATGGCTCTGGTAACCCGCTGACCGCCATGTACTTGTCACCGACTGTTTCTACCTGTATGTAACATATTTTTTATTATCATTATTGATTTTTTTTCTTTTCTTCTTCTTCTTTTTTTTTTTTTTATAGATTGAAGCTTAGTCTTCAATGAAACAACAGTTTGATTGTTTTTTTTTTTTAATTTAAAATTGAAAAATAAATTAATGAGATTTTTTTTAATGAAATGCAACTTGAAAGATTTATTTAAGTGAATGTTGATTTTGAAAAGAAAGTTTTTAAAAAATAAAAGAAAAATATGAGCTAGGTTATGGGCTTAGTTGATGGTTTTTAAAGAGTAATGATAACAATCAATAAATGAATTTTTATACTGAAAGTTAATTTGATTCGAGAGATAAATTATTGAACCAAAAAAATCATTCTGAAGAGCTTCATAGTTTCAATTTAAGTAAAAAAATTTGTTTTTTGCTCGACGGGCAGACAGCGTCAACTTTCGGCCCGCTGCACTAAACGAAGTTGCCCCTTTCTGTTTTCGTCGAGCAAAAAAATAGTATACACTCCACGGGAAGTAAATAAGAAAGCCTCAGATCACACGTTTGTCAACCTCGGCTTCGCCTCGGCCGACAATTACATGTGATCTGAGACATTTCTTACTTTACTTCCGTAGGTATGTAATATACTATTTGAACAGGAATTTTTTTTTCATTAAAATAAATTTAATTTGATTAAAAATTTTTTCGTTTTGATTTAAGGCAATGAAACTTTTCAAAATTAACGAAGTTCAAAATTTTATTGTAGTAACAATTATTTATTGCAACTCAAATTTAATAGTTTGTTTCCCAATAAATTTTGAAAGAAAAAATAACAATAACATTTTAAATTGACTAAAAACATTCTTTAAAATAAATTTCTGTCTTATTCTTTTAAATGATTCTTCAAATTCAAAAAATTCTTAAAAAATGTTCGTAGATACACATGTACAAATAACAAATTAAGAAAAGTGTAAAAATAATAAATAACATAATAATTGGTAAAGTACCTTATAAACGTTAGGATTTTTTTTAGGATCAGTGAGTACGTCAAAATGAATGTACAGTTGGTTGAGCATATTAACAATCTTCATAGCTCCACTTGAGTCTGTGTGGGCGGCACAGTAAGCGCCAAAACCAACGATACCAGAGAATAATAATGTGACACAGTCATATCGTCGTGCTGGCACTGGTCTCGAGTGTCGCAATTCATTTGCCACAGATATCGGTAGAACCGAGTACAGCAAACTGTTCAGATAAATTTTATTATTATCATTATTATTTCACCCTCCAATAAATTACTTGTTTAATTACACACTTCATAGTTAATTAGTGAAAATTTTATTTCATTTTACTCCAGAAAATTCAAATGAAATGACTAATGTAAATAAACTAGATCAAATTGAATTTGAAATTAAGTTTATGAAGCGCTACTGCTACTGCTGTTAGATTAGTTTATATTTAACTTAATAAATTATAAATTACATATTTTACCTGTCAGTTTTCTGCTTCTCACCATCAAGCTCGCGGTACGTCTGCTGCAGCTTGTCAGTCAGAAGCTCCAGATTTCTCGTTAGTTTGTAATCTGCTTCAAATTGTTCCGACATCAAAACTAGGTCCCTCGTTGCATCATGAAGTGGAACATCACTCAAGTACAACCCGCGTCTAGTTTTAGGTACATTTTTTATTGTTATTTAATATTTTTATAAGCTTGGTAATTTTACATTGATAATATATTAAAATCCTTCTTTAGAGGCACGAAGAGATTAATCAGTTCAGTAGCGAAAACTCACTTCATTAACAGTGGAAGAGTTTGGAAAATTTGGATATGCATACATACACGGAGAGAATTTTATATTAACGGTAACCATCGCTATTTTGTAGCTTCTACTATCCAGGATGGTTATTAACTTTTACAAAGTTAAGATGATAAATGCAACTATCCGGCGATTGTAATTCGTACAATCAGTATATATTAATTCCCACAATTATGATGATACGGTTTGTCATCTAGATGGTAACTTTTATCATCGGAGATAGTTAAAATCATCATGATTGCAATCATAAAAAAAAAAAGGAAGTATAAAAAACTAAACTTTTTCAATTTTAGTTTAGTTTATGTGAAAAATATATGAAAAATGCATGTAGGTACTCAAATGAAAGGTCTCGATGAGTGTAAGGTAATAACATTAAATTTCACTAAAAAAAAACCGATTTTATCATATGACTATACTGGAGACAAAATTTTTGTTATTCTTTTAATAATATAGATATACTTTTTTCAATACTCACTCTCAAACATTAGAATGTTATTATATTCTGACTCTAAAA